CAATAAGACAATGGTCTAAAGTAGTAGCCGAAAAAGATACTGTCAGACACAGGCAAAAGTGGGATTTGAAATAAACACACTCTTTTGAATGTGTCACGGAACACTGGAACCATTGGAAAAAGTTGTTGGCATAGGTGTTTTCTGTATTTCAGCATTGATGTAGGTGCTGAGTGCTCACTGGGAGGAAGGTCCTGTAACTTCAGGAATTTCAAGGTTTGTCAGTCACAGTGAAGAAACTAGCCTATGGAGATGACATTGGCATGTGAAGGCTGTGTGTTATAAGCACGCTGCTGGGTCCTTCTACCTGGGATGAGCATTCCCCATGTCCTCCTACCTGTGGAATACTTCCTAATACTCAGCCAGCTTCATTTAGTAACTGGTATTTGGACAGAATCTTGCCATAAAACCAACCCTAACCTTTCAATAGCTACTGAGTGCATATTCTACAAGGAGAGCTGGGGCCAGCTAGCATTCATTGCCTGCTTTCTGTGTACTAGGATCCAGGATAAGAACTTTATACATTAGCCTAGACTTCAGAAGAGTAGTATAAAGCAGTTAATAATCTCTCAAATTTGCAGATAAACCCGAGCTTCTGCCCAAGATCATGGGGCCTTAAGTCACAAGAAATGGAAATGTCTTTCTCCGCACTCCATCTTGTTTCTGTTACTATTATAAGAGTATAGACAGCCACGTCCCCTCCTGTTCAAGGCTAACAGAGCCTCTGTTATACTTTCAACAAAGACTTGTCTGTCGATCTGCCCCTTCATATCAGTAAAGGATGGGCCTCTTGTATTCAATGTGGCTTCCTTAAAACCGAGTCCACTGCAGGTATCATTTAGATAGTGGTTTGTTTGAAAGGGTTAATAAGTAAGGCAGTGCTAACAGAGGAGGGCAGAGGTTAAAAAAAAAAAAAAAGTCTGTTTCAGGGATTAGAGGAGACAAAGGTCCAAGGAGCAGTCAAGGCAAGGGGTAAAGGATGTGCACTAGGGTGTCATCCATGTGGGCAGTTGGGTGGGAGTGAGTCCCACAACCATCTGGTATGAGAGACACAAAGGAGTGTTCATCTGAAAAGGTTAAGATGTGATACTGCCACCAAGACACAAAGGACAGACGGAATCTGCCAAGGCATTCGGAAAGGTGTGCCAAGGCAGGGTTTGGTCCAGCCTTTTTTTTATAAATTTTATTTTTGTTTTACCTTGTCAGAGACTGGTGGCGGAGGACATGGGAAGGCACTTGTGAGGGACTGAGCATAGAGATGGTGTGTGGTCCAACCAGAGGGGCTGCTGAAGGACCCAGCCTGTGCTGTGACAACGTGCTAAACTTGCTATTAACAGGACACCTGCATCTTGACAAAGCCTCTTCTGGGCAGGTCGGTCCTTTAGCTCTGAACTGGGTTTTCTAAGTAAATATAAAACCATGGATAACGAAGCTATTTTCCAAAACATCTTCTGGTGCTTTTAAATTCACAGACAACAGACAGCATTGTAAAAGCAGGTGGGGATGGAAGGGGCCTTAAATTTGAATTGAATACAACAAATAAGAGAAAGGTTTTAAGGCCAAAGCATTACCGCAAAGAGGGGACTGACATTTGCGTATGTTATAAATGGCCATATTACATAAACCAAAGGCCTACTGCAGCATCTCCCTTAAGACAGCTTTGGAGAATAAAAAGTATTTTCAAAGTTTCCTCCCCAGAAGCTTTTTGTGGTATGTTTCCCTTTTTCTTGAATTATTTGGCCCCATCCAACTGTACTACAAGAATCTGAATTCCAGACTATAGGGTTTTTGTTTGTTTGTTTGTTTTGACTGTTTTTGTTTGTATTGCCATATTCAACCATGCTTCACTTTTAAAGTCAAAACTTTAAGAGTGATTTTTTTTTTCTTAATATTGACTAGAAAATAGATTAGACTTTGACTATAGACACGTAAGGGTTCTGAAATTTGGCAAAACCACAAAGGTGTCTCAGGCACGAGAACTCACTCACAGGTTGCCTTTGCTGAACACCTTCCAGGCTGGGCATGAAGTGCACGGGGCCCCATTCCCAGCCCACACTATGTGGGCCGGGCCCTTAGGGCTTCTGATAAAGACAGGGACTGGAACTAGTCCCTCAGCTTCAGGACAAAGGGCAATCTCCACCAGCCCTCTAGACCCTTGGATCTTCTACTGGACAAGCAAGCCAAGGCACAAGGACCATACACTATACATTAAAGGGATTTTGCATAGTCCGTTTTGTTGTGTCATTGTCTTTGAGACAATGTAGTCCTGGCGGGCCTGAAACTCATAGGAATCCACCTGCCTCTGCCTTCTGAAGCGCTGCAGTTAAAGGCATGCTCCACCGTGCCTGGCTTCTTTATGTAAATTAACAAAGGAAGCCTCCCCAATTTACTGTCATGCAGACAGACTCTTCTAAGTGAAACCAAACATCAAACACCTATGACAGTCTTCCGTTGGACCAATAAAAATATAAGTAAAAATGAAAAGCAGGCTAGAAGTGCGCCAAACAGAAAGATTTGCCTAAAGCAATAGCGTGCATTCCATAGTTCTCATCATTATAAATAATTGCCAGCCACCTGGAGCTGTGTATTTTGAGGACAAAATGAGCAGAAACTGATTGCTCACTAGTTATGAACTCCCGAAGTCGCTAAACAAGATCACCTGGTTAACAAGAGAGAGAAAAAAGAAAGAAAAAGAAACCTTTCAAGTCTGACTTATAAATTTCACAACGATCCATTTTTAAGCCTGTGCTAAATTTATAGCTTATGGCGCAACATAGTGTTTAAGAGATAATTCCAGGGTTTTACAATCTAATAATTATCTTAGGTAGCTCAAATTAAACAAATAAATGCCAACTTTGTATTTCACTTGGTAGAGTTACCGTTGAAATGAAACAAAAGAAGACACCCTGAAGGAACACTTGGGATGAAATAGTTCTGAACTTTCTGGGGCCAGAACATACCAGTCAGAGGGGTGTTTTACAGAGGATCGCTTGTTCAGTTGTTTTTTTTTTTTTTCTATCTGTAGTGTTTTAAATCATGAGTATTAGATCGAGATAATTTCTAATCCTGTGATCCTCAGCTGATATATTGGAAGAATCACTTAGCCTGTGTATGCCACAATTGCTCTGAAAATGAGTGTGCCTGAGAGCTATGGGGAGAGTTAAATATGCCAGTCTTGTAACTCTCTAGTCATCATGCCTACATGACTAATTCTCTCCTGAAAGACAGTTATCTTTCATTAGCTAATAGACTTCATGGCAGGAGGAAAGTAGCTCGCTTCTCCTATGGTTAACACGGGGTGTCTGTGTGTCATTTGTTTCCTTGAGGAGCTCAGCATTTTTGCAGGTGAAGTAGAATACGATAATAATAATTAGTAATACTAGTAACTGTTTCTTTCTATTGCTTGGCAAGGTGCTCAACCCTGGGCAGACCCGTCTGAGCGGGAGGCTTTTCCCAGTTGCAATTTCTCACCTGCAGTGAACATCATCAGTCCCCATGATACTTTCTTTCCATAAAGAGCAAAGCTAAACATGATGAGGTCACTGAATCAAAGTGACTTTAGACTTCATCACTTTCTAGACTGTAGCACTCAAAGTTCACACCAGCCATTTAATGTTTCCAATCATAGATGGAATCCTTTCCCTTTCCTCTATAATACAGTCTTGATTCAACAACAGGGAGAAAGGGAGAAAAAAAAAAACATCCTAGGCTAAATACCATGTAGCCCCATCAGTTGTGAACAAGGAGACTTAGCCATGGAGAGAAACCCTTCTAAAAAGATTCTGTTCCTGCCAGGTAGAAAGCTGTGTTTCTGACTGAATCCTGGATCCATCCTATCGTCTGCTCCTACCCACTGATATTCAAAACCACCGAAAGCTGATAGTGGGGTGATAAAAGATACCTGGGTCTTCAGACTGCTGGAACTTTGTCAAGACCCATCACCCAGGCTTTGGTTCACAGCTTTTGAACAAGATTTACAGGCACTGAACAAAAGATTGATATTCACCAGTGGCTGTTAGCTACAGCAAGTGTTTACAGCCCTCTGTCCAAAAGGAAGGGCCAGAAGCTACAAACCTCTGAGGGAAGCGAAATTAGCTGCTCCATAGGTCAGTTAACAGGATCTGTTAAGCTACCTTACCAAAATGATTTTTTGTAATAATACTGTCCTTTAAATGTCTATTCACCATTAAAATAATAATAATAATAATAATAATAATAATAATAATAATAATAATAATAAAAGAATAATAAATAAGCACGGCCAAGTCATCACGAACTGCTACTGGGCCAAGTCCCTTGGAAACTGCCTGCCTCCTTAGGCGGGATGTGCTGAGCAAGTCATAATCATTTTGCCAAGAGTAACCCCAGAAACCGTGGTGCAAAATGCAATGGAAAATAATGCTGCCAAACTATGAGCACGACATTCTGTAAGCGTCAGGGAAAATAAGCCAGCCGGAGCCTTCATTCTTTCAGACCCATTCAAACCTCAATAAAGTGTTATCCAGAAATGACTAACACCCGTTTATTCATAAAGCCAAGCTATCTAAGGAGGTGGGAATTCTCCATCGTCGCCGCTATGATGGTGTCTGGGTTTTTAATTTGCTTCTGCCGAGAGTGCCTAGGGCAGACAGCTTCCCAGATCAGGTGCTGAGGGCAAACTCTGAAAAGGTGCTTTTAGAGCCCGCCAAGAAGCTCAGCAGTTCTGACTCTTTCCTCCGCTAAGGCTCCCCGGTGGGCTCTGGTCGGGTAGCGACGCGCCTGCTGCGGAGCCAGTCAGACACCCCCGGGTCTCCAGCGGCCGCACCTTACGCTAACTTTCCGCCGCCGCCTCCCGCTACCACAGCAGCTTCCAGAGCTGGGTGCTGAGCTGTCTGCTCCCGGGCAAACCCCGGGGAACCCTGGAAACCAGAACAGACGCAGCCCGGCGAGGCCAGAGATGCGCAGGGATCCCGGCACCGGTCGGGGCGAGAAACCCAGGACGCCTGTGTGAAAGGCGCCCTTACCTTATACTTCATCTCGGCGGCGGTCAGGGGAGCCCCGGTCCTGGCTGGTCACACAGTGAGGCACTGCAGTGTCCGCCCCTCCATGGAGCGATGGACGCCAGAGAGAAGCTCGCCTCCCCGCGCGCTGCGGCGTCTCTGAACGCACGGCCTGGAGGGAGACCCGCACACCGCGGACCTCATTTGCATCCTCCGCCGCCATTGGCTGGTGGGAGGGAGGTAACGCCCCCGTCTCCGCCCCGCCCACTTCTAACTTCTGAGACGCTCCGACACAAGAGTGTGTAATACGATCATTTCTTTTCACTTTATCAAAAAAGAAAAAAAAAAAAAAAAAGGCGGAGGAGAAAAACAGAAAGTGGGGAGGCGGCCCCCAAAACACCACCCCGCGAAATAAAGATTTAAAGAGGAGAGAAATGGGAACCAGACAAAGGAGATACGTTCCTCCTGAGATTAGGCTAAATCTTAAAGAATCCGAATTCACAAAGCAGTCTGACGACCGCGCTTCCTGTGACCTAGCAACTGGTTCATAAACCCATTTCATTTCAAAGCCATTCACCTTACAAGCTCTACATGAAACGAGCTGGGGAAACAAAAGGTTTTCTGTTTCCAGCACCCCCCCCCTCCCCGCCTTTTTTTACTAACCACCCCTGCTGATAACTCTCTGTCCTTTCTCTTTCTCTTCCCTTTTCTGTGGCTGTTTGCTTTCCCTCCCTCCCTCCCTCTCTCCCTCTCTCCCTCTCTCACTCACTCTCTCTCTCTTTTCCATGTTTAAAGTACTTTTCAAAATCAGCCTGCTAGGAGCTGGAAAACGTTTCTCCTTCAGTGAAAAGGAACTCAGGAGCGCCAGGCTTTCCGGGACCGTCTCACTGGGACCTCAGAGAGGAGTGTCAGACACATTAAGCGACCTTGGCAGTCTTCGGTGGGGATAAAGGTTAGCTGGGAATCCATGCAGCTCCTATACAACGCACCTTATACATCATGCCTGTCCGTCCAGCACTCAGCTCTTTGATTGCTTGGCATGGCCAGATCCAGCTTTGAACACCGAGGTCTTTTCCTTCTGACCTCTCTCCCTCAAATGACCCATTAACCCATTCACACCTATTATCCAGGGAGAACCCTACTGTTTGATAAGCCTGCTTAAAAGGGGCAGAATCTCTCTGGCAAAGCACGGAACATGATTTGTATAGCAGTTCCATTTCGAGATTTCTATAGAGAAAGAGAGTCACTTAGGAGACAGAAGTTCCTTTTCCTTGGGCCCCAGGACTTGGAGCGTTCAATGACTTTCCCCTAGTTGGGATGCATTCCAGGCAGACTGCATGTCTTGGGCCGGGGTGGGGGTGGGGGGAGGATTCAGCTCTTACTTTTCCTGACTTAGCTGGGCCGGAATCAGTTTTGCCTCCAACCTCCCTCTCTAAATTCCCAATGGATTAAAACAATCGAAAAAAAAATTTTAAGCAATGCCCCACAAAAGTGGTTTCTGGGTGTAGCTCTGATTCCTTTACAGGATGCCCCAGCAGCCTTGGTGAAGTTGATGCCCCTGTTCAGACCCCTTCCAGGTCATGGCTTTGGCTCCTGGGCCTCAAAGTAGAATTGAACTAATGCTATCTGCAGGGTCTTTTGGACACAGATCAGGCACGAAGCACAGTGTGGTAGAAGGATTGTCCTGGCAGCCCTGCAGACTCAAAGTAGTGAGATGCGTTCGTAGTGTGTCTTGTGTCTGTGGAGGCACAGGCAAGACTATAAGTCAAAGGTCTTCTCTCCGGAGGAGGTGTTCTGGGCCCTAGGAGATGGAGAGAGCGTTCCTTTGGCTTCTTCAGCAGCCAGGCTGAATCGCCCTTTGATGAATGCAAGCAAGGCTAACCCACACCATGTGAATATTGCAAAACAATTTTGCTGAAGCCTGCCCTGCGCTGGGTACTTGTGAAACTGCATTCTCAGCTAGAGGGCTTGATTCCTATCAGGCAATCCTCTCGTTTTGGAATCTCTACAGATTTCTTAACCTGGCCATTTTAATCTCCTAGGGTATAAAATAGAGAACAAAAATCATACACACCTGCTGGGGTTACAATAAGGATTAAATGAAATAATCTCTATAAGAATCAATGATACAAAATATGGTTGCTTGTTCCTCGTACTATTATCTTAACATCAATGTAAGTTTTAGTATATGTTATTTTGCCCTTATTTATTTTATTATAGATCACTAGTGCTGTGAATTAAACACTTACCTGTTATGTTAATGACAGCCATTCACTGATGTTAGGTTGCTCTTGATTATGAGTATTGGGGGAACTCACACATAGGCAGACATAGCCCCTATGTGTGTCTTATTTCTACATTTTACTTAATGTGTGTGAGTATTTTGCCTGCATGTGCGTTTGTGCACCAAATGCATGCCTGGTGCCCATGGAAGCCAGAAGAGGGCAATGGATCTCCTAGATCAGGGGTTAAAGATGGTTGTGAGCTGCCACGTGGCTGCTAGGAATCAAACCTGCTCCTCTGGAGGAGCAGGCAGTGCTCTTCAGCACTGCGGCATCTCTCCAGCCTCTCCCCTTTCTGTGTATCTCTTTATAGGGAGCAGTTTTCTATTTAACAAGTCTCATCTCAGTGTCTATCATGGACCAGGTACCTTTCTAGGAGGGAAGAGATGGAAGCATTCTAGACAAAGTTCCTGTCTCTCATGGAGGGAAGTAATTGAGGGAATATAGTATGAATCGAAGTAGCAAATGCTATGAGGAGCATATTAAGTAGTGGAAATTTCTAGAGGAAAACAGACCAGTGTCTGTGTGGAGGATGAGTGGGTGTCTTGCTTTTTTTTTTTTCCCCCCAATAGAGCCAAAGGGAAGCTTCTTGAAGGAGGTGATATTTAAACAAAATCTGAATAACACGTGGGATGGTACCACTCCCAGATCTGAGGAGAGAACATTCCAGACAGAAGTGACACGTGAATAGGCCTGCAGGAGGCCTGAGCTCCATGTGTTTGGGACCATAATCAGTGGTTGGGGCAAAGTACACAGGACAGAGGGAGACCATGAGAAGAGGCGGCTGGAAGAGGGCTAGGGGTTTTCCTTGAGTGTGATAGGAAGCCATTGGAGTATTTTGAGCAGAGAACGATCTATTTCCCTGTTCTCACCATTAAACTATTATGCAGTGCTTGCAGCATAACTGAGGTACCACAGGTAATTGTGCTTTCCTGGATATGCTCCCTTCAAACACTTTGGAGAAACACAAATGCTATCAGTGATTAAAGAAACAGCCCTTTCAGTATCTATTGCCTGAGACAGTGGAGGTGAAAAGAATGTTAAAACTGGAATTTATGTTTGAATTATACAGGAAACCCGTGGGCTGGTACCATCCCAGAATGGACAAGGAGCCTGGGGCTCAGACCCCACCCTGCATTCAGCAGCATTCATTTTGGTAGCTGCCTCTTTGGCAAAAAAAAAAAAAAAAAAAAAAAAAAAAAAAATGATGTCTGGTTAGACCCTAGTGCTTTTAGGAGTCAGGGAAATGGCACCTGGTGGTATCTGAGAGATTTTATTAGCAGCTGTTGGACATTGGTAGGGACATGGATGGAAATGAAGCCAGTGCCGGGACTGTCCACAGCTCAGGCAGAACCTAGTGGCCATTCTGTAGGAGCCAATGTCTTGGAACTAGAGCCTGGAAGGAGGGAAGAGAGCCACCTGGGAAACCATCTAGGCCAAGCCTCCTAGAGAAGACAAAGCTGATACTCAGAGAGGTGGGGACCTCTGGAGGTAGGCCTACCAGCTGCCGTCATATGTGTATAGGTCAAGCCACCCTCCTGAGTCTCCACTGTACTGATTTCTTTTTTGTTTCCTTCCTCGAAATCCTTCTGTGTCTCCATCTTCAGCATTTACCACCTATTTACTTCCTAAGGGACAGAGCGGATGACAGTCAGATTGTGTTTGACAGTCTTAGTGATATGTTAATTAATGCCTCAGGAAACAGTATCAGGACACTGTGGTGAGGGCTGTACTGGCAACTTCACCCCTTCCCATTTCAGTTTCCTCCTCCACAGGACAGGCTTATACCTTCCTGGCTTTGCACAGAGGGGTCTCTCTGCAGAGAATGCTCTAGCCAGTTGTCTGCTCTCAGGCCTAGCTTAACACACTAACGTCTTTGTGTGTGCTGGTCACAGCCCCCACCCTGCCCACCTCATCCTTTTAGAACAAATCCCTTCTTCCCCTGACTGTGCCCCATTGTACTTGGAACACAGATCTTTGAAAGTGCCTTTCCATGTTTGGATGGTGGTGGTGTCTTGAGGGTCGTTTCATCCAGCTTTGGGTGGGTTCAGGAAAAACAGGGCGATGACTGGTTGGTCTCTCTATCTCTTTATACCTTGTAGGTGCTTAAGTCATTGCCATATGGACAAGGGAGTAATTCAGAGAACGCATGTTTACCTCCAAGTTCGGCATAGTGCCCGGGAAAGGAATAGGAAAAAATAAAAGTTATGTCTGAGAACAGCTCCCAGTTCACATTTATTAGAAGAGACACAGGATGCACCTTTTCAGAACCAGCGCCAAGCTGCTGTCAGCTCTGTCTGTGTGAGCTAAGAATAGCATTTACATTTCTAAGTGGCTTGGGAGGAGGCTAAAGAATAACATTTTGAGAGATGTGAAAATTACGTGTATTTCAGATTTCTATGTCTATACGCAAAGGTTGTTTTCTTTTTCTTTTTTGGCACACAGCCATCCCTGTTCATTTACATACTCTTTGTTGAGCTGCAAAGGTAGGGCTGTGTGGTTGCCCTTGAGTTGGTAAATACTGCAAAGCTAAAGAACATGCTTGCTATAAAATAATGCAACAGCCAGTCATGCCGGCACATGTCTGTAACCCCAGCTCACCCAGGAGCTTAGGCTTCAGTAATGATGAGCTGAGACGACCCCCACACCCCCGTGAAAATGACACCAAATCCCACAAAAGTAAAAAGTAAAGTAGATACAACAAATAAAGTACTATTAGCTGGCTCTCCATAGAAAATGTGCTACTTATGCTCTCAAATAGTACAAGATCTTTCTGGCTTTGAGTTCAGATCCCTCTGCGTGGGAAACAACCTAGAGGCTGAACGAAGAACAGACCAGGGAAAGCAGGCTAAGTCCTAAAC